CTTACATGGACTTTCCGCCCCCTCTCCCAGGATGTCCCCTCAGCCTCGAAGGCGATGATGATGATAGAGATGTCGTATTAGAAGCTGAGCACCCACCATCAGTGACTATTAACACTTTGACCAGCTGTCACACCTTGTATACACGAGCCCTGATGAAGGCTGAGAACACTAATCTATGGGTATAAATGAAGGTGTTTAGAGGGCAGTTTGACAACCGTCCATTTAGCAAAACCACAGAAGTAGGTTCTGCCCTAGGGCCTGTGACCTCCCCAGCCACAGGCTCTTGACTGGATTTGTAGAACAGGCATGAGGATTTGCACCACTAGGAATGAATTCATGCCTGTGGAGTGGTCTCATCTTCTGATAGTCCCTTGTCCATTGACAACACTTCCAGCATCTTCGTTCCTATACATTAAAGCCACGTGTGTGTGTGTTGCATACACTTCCTTGTAATTTCATGGCTGTTGGTCTTTCGTGTTCCACAGGCTGTAGTTAACGTTGACTCTTGGTCATATGCCCTTGTTTCTTCATTTGTTTGTTTAGTTTGGTTGAAACATAACTTTAGGGCTCTTGCGGGACCTGCACTGAAATGGCTTCCCTTGGGTAGTACAGAGTATCACTAACTCGTTTGTTTTGTCCATGTGCATGCATGTTCATACATGTGCGGGTACACAGGTGTTTACGTGTGTTCTTTAGGAACACTACCCAACATATTTTTGACACAGTCTCTCATGGGCCTAGGACTCTCACTCAGCTAGGCTGTCTGGACAGCAAGCCAAAGGGATCCACCTGTCTCTGTCTCCGTCACTGAAGTTACAAGCACGTGCGGCCGCCCCTGGCGTCTTCACATGGGTGCTGGGCCCAAACTCAGGCCTTAATAGTACTTTACCCAAAGATCCAACTCCCCGGCCCTATTGATTTAGATTTTAAATTAACTCACTGTACTGGACTTTTTCAGACCACGGGAGTATTAACTTGGTTTCCTGACAGCTCTCTTCACTCATGACATTAAAGATCATTCTTATCAGGCCAAGAGTGGTGGCATGCACCTTTTATCTTAGCACTCAGGAGGCAGAGGTAGGTGGATCTCTGTGAGTCTGAGACCTGGGTGTACCTCAAAGTTCCAGGCTAGCTGGGACTACTCAGAGGCTCCATCTCCCCCTAAAAGCTTCACTCTCAGAGCGCCCCCTTCAGTGGTTTTCAACCTTCTTGATGCTGTGACCCTTTAATACAGTTCCTCATGTTAAGGTGACCTACTTCATAACTATAATTTTGCTACTGTTATGAACTGAAATGTAAATATCTGATTGGCAGGGTGGTCTTAGGCGGCCCCTGTGAGAGGTAATTTGATCCCAAGGGATTGCAGCCCACAGGTTGAGAACCACTGACCCCTTCCTATTCAATCAGGCCTGTGTTTTATTGATTTGACTGATTGATTGACTGAGACAGGTTGACCTCCAACTTGAGCCTATGTTCTTGTTTGTTTGTTTCTTGGGTTTTCTATGTTTTTGGAGACAGGGTTTCTCTGTGTAGCCTTGGCTGTCCTGGAACTTGCTCGGTGATCCAAACCGGCCTTGAACTCAAAGCGATCTGTCTGCCTCTGCCTCTGCCTCCCAAGTGCTGGAATTAAAGGTGTGTACCACCAATGCCTGGCCAGCTCACATTCTTAAAAGGCTTCTTAAATTTTTTTATTTTGGGGAAAATTGTTCATTTCTTTGTTTGTTTGTTAGTGTTTCAGTTTGATTTGGGGAGACTAGATCACATATAGCCCACCCTCAGGGTCCCTGTGAAACCAAGGATGACGTTGAATTTCTGGTCTTCCAACCTCTACCTTCTGAGTGCTAAGACTGCAGGCATGTCCTGCCACATCCAGGTTGTGTGGTCCTAGGACTAGAGCTCTGGGCTCACACGTGCTGGGCAAGCGCACTTCCAACTGAGCTACAGCCGCAGGCCTGCAAGTTCATTTTGAACTCAAATAGTCTTTCCCGGGCTAGAGAGACCCCTCAGTGGATGCAGCGAGTGCCCGTCACTCCAGCACACAGTGCACACCTGTCAATCATCCCCCCCCCCACCTCAGCAGCACCTGTCAGCCAGCTCAGCAGTGCGTGTCTGTAGTCCCAGCACTGGGAAGGCAGAGACAGGTAGATGCTCAGAGTTTGCTGGCAGTCAGAGGACCTGAAACAGTGACCTCCAGGTTCAGTAAAAGACTTGGCTCAAAAAATAAGCTGGAGAAGGAATGAGGAATGACATCCCCTCACCCCAAACCCTCACACACGTTTTAATTAAAAGCTTTTCCTGTGTTCGCTGTTCAGTTTGGTAAATTCTAGCCATCCTTTGAATATGCAATATTTTTTTCTCCTAAAAGTTAATAACTATAAGTGGTTTGCTCTGAAAGTTCTCTTTGTTTTCTTTTTATCATACTTGCTCCTGGGTTATCATTTCTCATTTGGAACTTCAAGCCTACCCATCAGGCTGGATTGACTGTAGTATAAGGTGATTTTTAGATTCTGTTTATTTTCAAGGGGAAGACTCAATATTTAGAGATGTTATCTGTGGCCGGGACCATTGTAGGGTAGGCTTCCTTTATGAGGGGTTTGCAGATCTATGCATCTCGAGGTCTTGTTATAGGATCCTTCAGTTTCCTTAGAAAACAGAGCAATTATAGCTGACTGCACAGTTTCCAGAACTCAATGGACCATGAATGTGGTGGGTCCCTTGTTCAAAAGTAGGGAAACATTCAGTTAAAAATACTAAAATTTAGCCAGGCCGGGGTAGCACACACCTTTAACCCCAGCATTTGGGAGGGAGAGGCAGGCAGATTTCTGTGAGTTCGAGGCCAGCCTGATCTACAGAGAATGCTAGGACAGGTTCAAAAGCTAAAAAAAAAACCTTATCTTTTAAAAACATCTTCTACTTATAATATATAATAGGGATAATGACACTATACATATAACAGCATAAACTTACAGCTGCAGGAAATGATATCACATCATCATTTTATGTACTGCAGTAGGTTATTAAAATGTTTTAATAACATTTCTTTTTAATTTTATTTTAACTGTGAAGCAGTAGTTTTCCATATGAACACTATTTCTTTTTTACAGATTTATTTTATTTTTAATGATGTGTATGTGTTTGATCATGTGAGTGTAGGCGACCATGGAGGCCAGAAGAGGGCACCAGAGCTTCTGAAACTGGAGTTACAGGTTGTTTTGAGTTGCTAGTGCAGGTGCTGGGAATCGAACTGGGAGAGTAGCGAGTGCTCTTAATTGCTGAACCACCTCTCCAGCCCCCTGAACATTACTTCTTGATTCAAATTTTCTGACTTTCTTCTCTGCAAGCTTACCTACTAGGTTATGAAATCTTATGTTCTTGGGTTATTTGTTTCAAATATTCACAACTGAAAACGATGCCAGTTGTTCCTGGCAAATGCAAGATTTTAAATTTAAAAAATTAAAATGTAACTTTTTAAATTAAAAAAAACAAGAAAAATTGAAGAAAAGAGGAACATGAACAAAAGCAATGAGATGGGCAAGGGGCATCATGAAGCAGGACGGTAAGCTAGCAAGATGACAGCAGGAGAAATCTTACAGGGCAAGCCCAAAACTGTGAGCCACACAGTGGCAAAATGCGGGATGGATAAGGTACAAACAGACGAGGAAGGGGCACATCCAGGGATGTGGAGGTGGTCCTCAGACAGCAGCTGTCTAAAACTCAGTCTGACTGAAGTGATCAGTAACTAGTGGAACCAAGAGGCATAAAAGATAAACATAAGGAACAATGGTTGAGCAGGCACTATGACCCAGTACTCCAGAGGCTGGGGCAGAAGGACCACAAGTTCAAAGTTAGCCTGGGCAACATAGTGAGACCCTGTCAGAAGGAAGAAGGGAAGAGGAAAGAAGGAGGAGGGAAGAGGAGGGGAGAGGAAGAGAAGGGGAAGGGAAAGGGAAGGGAAGGGGAGGGAAGGGAAGAAAAGGAAGTGGGGAGGGAAAGGAAAGGAAGGGAAGGGAAAGGAAAAGAAAGGAAGGGAACGGGAAGGCTGTATTGGAGGTGTGCAGTGATTCATGATAAACCTGAAGTCTCTAAAATAATAGAACCAAAATTCAGGAAGGAATAGGAGGTGAAAAGTAGAGAAGGCAGGTACAGAAATATTCTAAGAAAAGAAAGATATATAAAAATACTAGAAACCTACAGACAGAAAGGGAAAAAGAGGCTGTAAACTAGGTCCTTCATTTACAGCTAAAGAAATTAGGGGTCACAAATCGCAATCCCAGAGAACCTAGACAACAATGAGGATACTAAGAGAGACATACATGGATCTAATCTACATAGGTAGTAGAAAAAAACAAGATCTCCTGAGTAAATTGGTAGCATGGGAACCTTGGGAGAGGGTTGAAGGGGAGAGGATAGGTGGGGAGGGGAGCAGAGAAAAATTTAGAGCTCAATAAAAAATCAATAAAAAATATAATAGGAAAAGAAAGAAAGAAAGAGAGAGAGAGAGAGAGAGAGAGAGAGAGAGAGAGAGAAAGAAAGAAAGAAAGAAAGAAAGAAAGAAAGAAAGAAAGAAAGAAATTAGAGGCCATGGAGACTAATAGATTCCCCTTTATGACCTGCCTAGCAACACGACTCAGGCAAAAACCTGTTCAGATTAAATGGTAATTTACAAAGGATAAAAGATCAAGGGAAAACTTTCTGTTTCCAAAAAAGGACCTTTACTTCTTTCATTTAAAACTCAGCTTCCTTCCTCTAGAATCCAATGCTCTTGGTCTTGAAATCATTTTCAACGTCTCTGATAGAGAACAAGGCAGATGGTGAATGGCTTGCCAGAGACACGCAGGTGTTGTTGGGCAAGGGAAAGAGAATTGTATTTACCACATTGCTTTTTAATTCTTTAAGGAATTGTATACTCCTGGAGCCTAGGAGCAGGAAGGGTTGCTCACCTTAAATTGAAAGGCATCACTATAATAACTTTGATAATACTCCACCCTGCTCCCTCCCAAAGACAACAAACATCAAGGTTAACTATCCACCTACGGAAGTGGCCACGGCAGAGTAAAGACATTCATTAGGGGAAAATGTCACCCACTTACGGATAATTCTCAATGAGCTAGCAAACACCGTTTTGCTAGGAGAGGCAGAGTTTCCCCTAGAGACACCCTAATGTCGCATATATAAACCAGTCCTCACCCAGTAGGGCATTCACCCTCGGAGCAACACTCCCGCGTAAGCACAATGTCCGTTCGCTTCTCCTCCGCATCCAGACGGCTGGGCTCCGTGAGGCTTTCCGGCACCGGAGCTGCCTTGGGGGCTGGAAATGCGTGCGGAGTGCCAGGCATCGGAAGTGGTTTCTCCTGCGCCTTTGGAGGCAGTTCCTCGGCAGGAGGGTTCGGTCTGGGCAGTGCTTCTTGTGGGGCCTTTACAACGAACGAGCATGGGCTCCTGTCAGGCAATGAGAAGGTGACCATGCAGAACCTCAACGACCGCCTGGCCTCCTACCTGGAGAATGTACAAGCCCTAGAAGAGGCCAACGCTGACCTGGAGCAGAAGATCAAGGACTGGTATGAAAAATTTGGACCTGGTTCATGCCGTGGTCTGGATAATGACTACAGTAGATACTTCCCCATCATTGATGACCTCAGATCCCAGGTAAGAAGTACAGTGACATGGGACATATAGACAAGAAAAATAGAAGGGGTCACAGCAGGAAATGGAGCACAGCTTCTAGAACTTCATTATCAATATTTCAAATTGATAATTTGAAAGAGGGAGAGGGCTCAGCGGTTAAGAAAACTGGCTGCTGCTCTTCCAGAAGACCCGGGGTTAATTCCCAGCATCTACATGGTGGCTCACAACCTAACTCTAGTTCTAGGGGATCTGAAGCCTTCTCCCAGTCTCTGGGGGCACCAGGCATACACATGGCGCCCAAACATACACGCAGTCAAGACACCAATACATATAAAAGAAGTGAATTTTAAAAAAACAACAATAACAATTTATATTCCAATTATAATCTTTGAGCATGACCCACCCATCTGAAATTAGGCAATGCAAGCATGTTTTTAGTAAAATGAAAATATAAAAAAACTGCCCAGTGTCTCCAACTATATATTTATAAGCGTAAGAGGAAAGTTTTTAAAGGTGAAGTAGAAACTAAAATATCAAGTAAAACTGACTGTATCTCGAGTTCCCATCTTTATAACCCCTGATCATCAGCTCTGGGTGCAAGAAGGATTCCTATGATTTCCACATGCTACTGGCTTGCAAGGAAATGCGCATGTCCTACTGGGTCCTCACTTTCACCCACCTCTCCATTCATCAGATCATCTCCGCCACCGCAAACAACGCCAACATCGTCCTGCAAAACGACAACGCGAGACTGACGGCTGATGACTTCAGAATGAAGTGAGTTGAGCCAAAGGAAAGCAGACCAAAAGTTATCCCGGGACCTCCCTCTTTTCCTGGCGTCGCTGGGAGTCTTCTCTGCTCTGCTGTTTGTCCCTTTGTTCATTTTAAAGCATTAATTAACTCACCTAATTAACTTAGAAAATTCAGAGCTAACACAAATGATTGTCGAGGTCAGAAGGGAAGAGAACTTTGAATCTCCCCATTATCTAGCTTCGTAGAAGTGTGTCTGCTCCATGCGGGTAGCTGAAGCTGGCTGTGCTAGGCTAAGTTTTAGGATGACTGAAAGTGGGGTGACTCAAATCTGATGGGAAAAAATGAACCTTTCCAACACATCTCTAAGGTACGAAAGTGAACTGGCGCTTCACCAGAGTGTGGATGCAGACATCAATGGCTTGCGAAGGGTCCTGGATGAGCTGACCCTGTGCAGAACTGACCTCAAGGTTCAGCTGGAAACACTCACGGAGGAGTTGGCGTACCTCAAGAAGAACCATGAGGAGGTAGGCTCTCAACCTTCCCTGTCTTCATAGCCTGCCTCCTTCCCGAAATACCTTCATATCAAGACGGTTTTAATTTCCCCCCTTCTATTATTTCTATTATTCCTTCTCAAATGAAACAAACCAGTCCAGGATGGTAGCTCCCAGCTACCATCCCAGATCTCAGGCAAGAGGATGGCTGAGTCCAGGGCAGCTTGGGTTCCAGAGTGAGGCTGTCTCAAACGAGGAAAAGCAACAAACCTCAGAAAGAACTTTGAGCCGTGTGGATCCTGTCCACTTGGCTCCTTCACAGTCAGAGCCTGATGTGGCTGAACAAACCGTTCCAGGAAATGCAGGCTCTGCAGTGCGCAGCGGGAGGCAATGTGAACGTGGAGATGAACGCGGCCCCTGGTGTGGATCTCACCGTCCTGCTGAACAACATGCGAGCCGAATACGAGGCTCTGGCTGAGCAGAACCGCAGGGACGCCGAGGCTTGGTTCCAGGAAAAGGTAAAGGCAGGCTGGCAGGCACACACCCGGCACCAGGTGTGGATGCCGCTGTCCCCACCCTGACCCCAGCTCCTGCCTTCACAGAGCGCCACCCTGCAGCAGCAGATTTCAAACGATGCGGGAGCCACCACCTCAGCCAGGAACGAACTTACTGAGATGAAACGGACCCTCCAAACCCTGGAGATAGAACTGCAGTCCCTCTTGGCCATGGTAAGTATGAAGATCAAGGCAGCTTTGCTTTGGAAGTTGAAAAACAAAACCTCCTAAGAATTCTCATCCTCGTAATGTTATTCACTTGGGATTTTAGCCATTGATGACTATGTTGACATCTGCTTGAAAGTCATGCCTAGATATCAATAAGCCCTGAAAACCTGCAAATACAATTATTTTGACATGCCCCGGAAAAAATTCATTTTACCTTTATCAAAAATCTCTGCAGAGCAGAAATATCTCCCTGGTTTCCCGACCCGGCCTTCCTGTTGGTCAGTTAATTAAGAGCACTTACGTTCCTTTTAAGTGGCATAAATAAGAAGCAAAGTAGAGGTGTGAAGGTTGAGTCTAAAGCGAAACGTGCCTAATGACAGTAATAATCACCCTTTTCATTAAGGGCTTGCCCAGTCGCTCACCGACAGGTTAGTCTGCAATGCCCCCTGAGGCGTAGGCAGGCCGTCTTCACAGCTCACATCATTATCTCCAGAAGAAGAATCAGATTCAAAGAGGCGAGGTGACTCCCAGAGTTGCACAAAAGGAGACAAAGAATGGGACTTCCCTCCCACTTGTCTAACCGGAGTCTGTACCTTTCCTCCTATGGCTAGGAGACCGACAGCACTGACCCACAAAAGAATGCATGAGCTGTATGTAAATGTGTTAAAAACCAGGGCTTATAGGAAAATACCTGGCTTCAAAATGGTCAGTAAATACTGTTACCTAGCCAGGCATGGTGGTGCATGCCTTTGATCCCAGCACTGGGAAGCTCTGTGAGTTCAAGGCCAATCCGGTCTAAATAACTTGTTCCAGGATTGCCAGGGCTATATAGAGAGATCCTGCCTCAGAAAGAAAGAAAAGAAGAGAGAGAGAGAGAGAGAGAGAGAGGGGGGAAAGATACTGAGATACTGCCATCTCCATTTGTCAACAGTATAAGGGGCTGGGGCTCTTCTTTGGATCATCCCCTATATACACTGTTTCTATAACTGACTCTAGAAAAGCAATGATGGGCAGGAGACAGATTGACGATGAGGAAGCAAAATGTAGGGGGGCCTTCATTACTGAGAAAATTGGAAACTGCCACACCCCACAAGTGCAGCATACATCGGTGTATATGGTAGGAATCTTTTGGCTGAACCCTAAAGAGAAACAATCTCACCGTTCTGGATTGACAAGGCCCACTTGCCACCATCTGTATCATTATCAAATAGACTAGTATGGCGTGCATCATGAATATTGAGCAAATGGAATCTTCTGGATGAAAATGGCTGTTGGTGTATATGTGCAGTGTGTGTTCGTGTGTATGGTGCCCATGTGGGTGTTCATGTGTGCTCACGTGTATGAAGGCCAGAGGTCAACCTCAGGTGCTGTTCCTCCGGAGCTCTCCACCATGTTTTTGGAGACAGGGTCTCTCACCTGTCTCAACCTGGTTAAGGGGCTCACAGGTTCGGCTGGCTGATTATCAGGTCATAGACATCCTGTCTCCATTTCCCCAACCCTGGGATTACATGCACGCAGCCGTACCTGACTTTTTGTGTAGGTGTTGGGGATGGCTCCCAGGTTCACATGCTTGCACGGCAAGCACTTCCCCGACAGCAGTCTCCATGGCCCTGGGTGGGAGTGATCGCCTTGTGGAAGGATGATTCTTCTAAGAGGCTTCTTCTGAGTCGGTACAGTGATGTCTTCTAACACCATCTTTCCAAACCACAGAAACACTCGCTGGAGTGCTCCCTGACCGAGACCGAGGGCAACTACTGCACACAGCTGGCTCAGATCCAGGCTCAGATCAGCGCCCTGGAGGAGCAGCTGCACCAGGTCAGGACCGAGACCGAGGGCCAGAAGCTGGAATACGAGCAGCTGCTGAATGTCAAGGCCCACCTGGAGAAGGAGATCGAGACCTACTGCCGCCTCATCGACGGAGACGAGGGGTAGGCACTCTTCCTCTAAGGACTCTCTTTAAGGTTTCTAAAAGTCTCTTGAAGCTGCGGCACGTCTCTGCAGTCCAGACCATGGGGGAATAAATGCACAGTCCCTGGCATTATTTCAGCAGCCAGTGAACTGTGAATCTCTGCTTCTCAGTTGCTTTAGCACAACAGAGAGGTAAATAATGCAAAAATCTATTTTTTTTATTTTTACAGTTCTTGTGTTAAGTCAAAAGGCCAAGGAGGACCCGGAAATCAGACAAAGGGTAAACAAAAAGTTCTACAAAACTTTCATTGGTTTCTTCTCTCCTCTTTTTTCTTATTTCTCTCCTCCTCCTCCTCCATCCCTGGACCCTCTCTTCCTCTTGTGTGCATGTGTGCAGGTGCACCTGTAGGTGGAGACCAGAGGGCAAACTCAAGTAGTGCTCCTCATCCAAGGCCCACCTTTCTGTTTGAGACAGGGTCTCTTATGGACCTAAAGCTCACCAAGTAGGTGAGGCTGGCCAGTCAGTGGCACCCAAGGATCCTCCTGTCTCACCTCCCCAGACCTAGGATTACAAGTGATTTGTTTTATGTGGGTTCTAGGGATGGAACTCAGGTTCTCATCAATACAAAGCAAACACTTCACAGGTTGAGCCATCTCTGAAGTCTTCTTTTCTCTTATCTTCTGTCATTTTCGTTATATATGTTTCCTTTGTTGTTTTTTTTTGAGGCAGGGTTTTGTGTGTGTGTGTGTGTGTGTGTGTGTGTGTGTGTGTGTGTGTGTGTAGCACTGGCTATTCTGGAACTTTCTATGTACATTAGGCTGGCCTTAAACTCAGAGATCCACCTGCCTTGGCTTCTTGAGTGCCAGGACCACCACCCAGCATAGTCTATATCTTTTAAATGCTGAATTATTTCCCATCTGTGGATTAAAATTGTCATGGTTTGTGTCATTTCAGAGCCATCTAAAACCGCCATCGTTAAAACTGTTGTTGAAGAGTTAGATCCCCGTGGCAAGGTTCTCTCCTCCAGAATTCATACCCTGGAAGAAAAATCTACCAAAGTTAACAAGAATGAGCAAAGAAAGGATGTCTTCTTGAACTCCACTGCCTAAAATGAAGAGCCCTACTTTAAAATACCAAATCTAAACGGTTTTCCAAAATAGGACCCTCTTATGTTTCTGCTTCTCTCCCAGTGAGTGAAGACAAACCTTTTAGACTAGTGACATTTCTTTGGCTTTCTCTCTGATGGTGTTTCAATAAATGTCTTCCTGTTGCAAGCTATCCTGCCTGGTTCTGGTTCATCACTGCATCTGAAGTACACCCTCCCATGGGAGCTAAGCTCCGCCTTTAAATTCCTCTATTTAATCCATGGCTCTTTGCAAGTTAGGAACTGGTTGAATATGTAATGGTTGTAGTCTTTTCGTGTGTCTACAAAATTTTAATCTCCCAACCTTCCACACATACTGGGTATATATATGTTGAGTGCTAGGCGGTGAAAATAAAATAGCTACTAAAAAAAATTAAAAATAAAAACCAGTTCCTGGAGCTGGAGAGATGACCCAGGTTCAGTTCCCAGCACCCAGATGGAGACTCATAATGCCCTGCAACTCCAGTTTCAGGGGATTCAACACCCCCTTCTGGGCCTCCCTGGGCACTGTACAAATACAGTAAACACATAAATAGGCTGGCAAAACACTCATACATATAAAATACAGATAAATGATCTTGTATATATAGTAGACTCATGGAAGTGAAAATAGGAAATTGAAGAGTCAGGAACATCCTAAAGAAAAATGATACATGTAGATTTTTTTAAGAGAAGAGAGAGGTTGCATAAGGGGGAGGGGTAAAGATTGCAAGAGCCAGAGAAGTGGAAGAGGGCTGAACACCAGTGTTTTCTGGACATGACCGGGCTGTATTGCTCATGGCATACTCACGGCAGCTTTGACTCTGTGCACAAGACCCACACGATACCAAACCAATCAAATTTTCAGCATCAATGGCAAAGGAATTGGTGAAGTCTCACCCCTAGCTAAGGAGCTAATTGATGGCGACTGATGCTGATAGGGGAGTGAGAGTCCACAGCTCAGGGAATGAGGTGGAAAAGTAGGTGGAAAGAATATAAGATCTGGAGAATGGGGAAGGGTGCTGTAGAATAATCTTTGTACACTGGGAAGACATGTTGCTCTCATTGGTTTAATAAAGAGCCAAATGGTCAATAACTAGGCAGGAAGAGGTTAGGCAGGACATGCAGGACAGGGAGAGAGCTCTGGGATGAAGAAGGGCAAAGTCAGTAGGAGAAGCAAGATGAATATGCCATACTGAGGAAAGGTACTGAGCCATGTGACAGAACATAGATAAAAATATGGGTTGGTGTGTAAGAGCTAGTTAGTAGTAAGTCTAAGCTATTGGCCAAGCATTTATAAGAATAAGTCTCTGTGCGGTTATTTGGGAACTGGCTGGTGGGCTAGAAAATTCCACCTCCAGAGGAGTGCTGTGGAATGCTGTCTTCTGGAATTGAAATGGCTACTGTGTTTGAGAACTCACAGCTGTGAGTTATGGAGGTAGATGTGGCTACCTACACAAGATCAAATAGACTACATCCTGGTAGAGATGGAGTAGACGATTCTTCAGGGACCACCCTTATCAAGGAGCTACTGGCAGCGGATAGCTGCTGGGGAGAAGAAAATAATTCTTTGTGGAAAATACGACCACCGGTGGGTTTCCATGGATGGCCCACACCCATGCACATATGGGCAGCACTAACTGGACTTAGTGAGCTATAAAAGAAAAAAAAACTATGAAGTTGGGAGGGGCATATATTGGAGACATATCAGTTACATTTCTGTCACTGTGATATAACACCATGACTAAGGCAACTTACAAAAGAAAGAATTTCTTTTGGCTTAGAAGGTCAGAGTCCATGATGTCAGGGCAAAGCTAGCAGGCAGGCATGGTGGCTGGAACAGACTGCTGACAGATGACATCTTGAACCACAAGAATAAAACAGAAACAGTGAACTGAAAGTGGTAAGTTCTAAGCTCTCTAATTCTGGCCCCAGAGACATTCCTCCTCCAGCAAGGCCATACCTTTTAAACCTCTCCAAACCACTGCCATCAACTGGAGATCAAGAGTTCAAATGCCCAGACTGCAGGAAACCTTTCTCATTCAATTAATTAGAAAGGGAATATATGATCATATTTCATTATCTCCCTGTATGAAATGCTCAAGAATAAAGAAAAATTAAAGTTGATTAATTAATTGAAAATAGGAGCTGACGTGTAGTTTAGTCTGGAGAGTCTAACCAAACATGCACAAAGGGCTCGTTTCTATCCCAGGGCCACATAAACCCTGGGTGTGGTGGCACATCCCTGTATCCGCACTCTGGGAGGTGCATGCAGGAGGACCAGAAGCTCAAGGTCATTCTTAGCTACAGACAGAAGGCAGCCTGGGCTACACGAGGCCTAGCCTCAAAAATACAACTAAGACAACATACCCAGGTAAGGCTAAGACAAACACACTCACTTCATTTTCTGAATAACTGACTTTTACATCCTCTACTCTTATATCAAAACCGGGGCGGAGAGGATCTCTTGCATATAGTTCTACAGTCAGAAATACTTAGCCACTACCCAGGAACCTTTGGAAGTTCACATGATAAAGCTAAACTATATTATAATCATATTTCTTGTCAAATTTTATAAAGCCCTTATTCTTTGAAAGACTTATTTAAGTGTTCGATTGCTACCTTTAAATGGTGATAATGCTGTTGTATCTCTGTGGTAAAGCGGACTACCTGCATGCCTCATAAAAAAAAAAAAAAAGAAAAAAGAAATACTTAGCCACTGTGGAAGACAGTTCATCCGGCTCTTTCTTACAAAGCTAAACACTTCATAACACTCTCTGACCAGTCGATCCTGCAATTACTGGAAACCAGTGGATCCTTTACTCCTCTATCCAAAGGAGATGACAACATCGCCACACAAAAATCTGCACAGGAGGGGCTGGAGAGATGGCTCCGTGGTTAAGAGCACTTGCTGCTCTTCCAGAGGACCAAATAAATGATGACAGATTCTTACAATGGGGCATTAGCCAGAGCTAGCATGCCATGAAGAGACAGAGAGAAAACTTTAATGTCTATTACTAAGTGAAAGAAGCCAATCTAAAAAGACTACATCATGTAGGAGGCCAATTCTCTGACATCCTGGGAAACACAAAACTGCGGAAGCAGTAACATTGATCAGTGGTCGCCAAGGTCTGAGAAAGGAGGATAAATGGGGAGTCAAGGGATTCATAGAACAAGGAAAGTAGTCTAGATGCTACCATGAGGGCAGGCATGGGTCAACACACAATTGTCCAGCCAACAGGGTTCACCAAGAGTGAACTTCAACGTGAACCATTGACTCTGGTGAGTATGGCGTGTCAGTCAGTGATCTGTGGAACACAGCCTCTGCTCCAGAGAGGGTTGCTCACATGGACCAGTGGGAAGGCAATGCATGATGGTGGGAAGTCTGTGGGAAACCTTTGCACCTTCCTCTGAATTTTATTGTGAGTTAAAACAACTCTCAGGACTGGAGAGCTGGCTCAGTGGTTAAGAGCACTGACTGCTCTTCTGGAGGTACTGAGTTCAATTCCCAGTAGCCACATGGTGGCTCACAACCATCTGTAATGGGATCTAATGCCCTGATGACCTCTTCTGGCATGCAGGGATTCATGCAGATGGAGCATTCATACCAAAAACAAACACCAAAAAAAAATCATAAAAAAACCAACTCTCAAAAAAATTTTTTTAGCCTATTTTCGACGACTCAATAGTTAGCTTAGATTTCCTTCGGCATTTTGGATGTCTGATCATCAAACCATCCAAACTAAGGGAATAAACTCTTTCTACTGGAACCAGGCTAAAAGGATAGGAAGGTATAGTCTAGAAACCACTTGGTCCCCACAACCACGCTATAAGGTGGATGCCGTGGTCATCATCGTTTTATGAGTAAGGAAACTGAGTCAGAGAGCAGCGAAGTCATTTTCTCAGAACCACACAACTAATAACTGGAGGCGCTGGAGTTCAGACAGACTGACTCACGGTCTGAGCTTAGCTGCAACCTAATGCCCTGTTGGTGAGAACCAGGAACTCCGGGGCCCCACCCTCCCGCTAGTGAAAAGGGGTGCTAGCTCTAGTCATGATCTCTTTTGCAAAGCAGCCGTTCGGCGAGGCACTAACAGACCACAGCCTGATTCTCAGAAGAAGCACAAGGACTCTAGTGACAAAATAAACCTCGTCCATATCCAAGAAAGTGTTTTCCTGGCAAGCGAGGTGGCAGTGGGAAGGTTTGAATTGGATCCCCAGGATCTTCCACATGGTGGAAGGAGAACACTAACACCTGGAAGTTATCCTGTGATCTTCACATACAGACTGCAGCATGCAGGCACTTACATACATAAACATACTTACATACATAAAAAGGTTTTTGAATAAAATGCTTTTCTAAAATACCCAAGAGAGATATAAAATATCCATCTTTACAGTTTTTACATTGTTTTTTATTTATTTTGTGTGGGTGTAGACGTGGGCATGTAGACATAGCATGCCATGCACACATGTGAAAGTCAGAGGACAGTTTGCTTCTGTAAGTCCTCTCCTTCTATCACGTGGGTCCTGGAATCGAACTCAAGTCCTCAGGCTTGGCATCATGTGAGACAGCAACGAAAAGCTTCAGGCTGAAGTGAGGCATTAAAACATCATGAAAGCTAAAGTTCAATTCAGTTCAATTCCTTTGGACGCCAGCAACATACAAAGAACATGACACTTGAGTATCTAGTAGGTTCTTGAGAAATGAAGAAAGATACCACTGCACACTGCTTTCTGACCATGAGTCTGTAACCTGAAGAAGCAAAGACACTGATAGAAGCGACCTGGGGGATTTGCTCAAGTCATCTTCTACTTCCAGAAAGGACTAAAGTATTATTTATACTCTTAAAGTTTTAGTTCAGAGGGCTAGGGAGATATTAGAGCACTGGTTCTAAAGGACCTGGGTTCAACTCCCAGCACCCACAGGGTGGATCACAACTATTTGTATCTCCAGTTCCAGGAGACCCAACACCCTCTTCTGACCTCCACCAGAGCCGGGCAAGCGTTGCACAGACATACATGCAGACAAAACATTCATATATACACAAAAAAATAAACTTAAAAAAACCCTTAGTTTACAGGAAATCTGTTAAGAGACGTAAAGAGACATCCTATGTGGAAACACCGAATGTGTTTCCGGAAGTTAAGC